AGGGGTCACAAGACACACAACGGAGTCCACTTGAAGAGTTTATTAAGAGAGGGAGACAGGTGCGCAGGCCTGAGGGCGTGTGTGCAGAAAGAGAATGGAGCAGGTGTGTCCAGCTTTTAAAGGCTGCCAAGCGCATGTGAACAGGGGCTGCCGTAGCTGCGTTATACGTAGATCATGTGACCACGCTGCAACATGTCACCAGGGTTTGAACCCTGAAGTGCCTGCCTTTGAGGTGGGTAGACGTTTTACCAATGCACTGGGTGAAGGAAGTGATAACACTCTTCACAAAGGGGAACCTGGGCTACAATACAATCCTCTCTAGATTAAAAAAGTAATGGGCTGGCCGGGGATGGAGAAATGGCTCCAGGCATGCTTGTGTGCGCACACATATACAAGCAAGCAAAACGCCCTTACACACACGTAAAATAAAAATATTCTCTCCTCCCCCAGCCTCTCTCTCTCTCTCTGTATTTTCAAGACAGGGTTTCTCTATGTAACCTTAGCTGTTCTGGGACTCTCTTTGTAGACCAGGCTGGCCTCAAAGAGATCTGTTTCTGGCCCCCTGAGTGTGAGAATTAAAGGCATGCGCCACCACTGCCCAGCATAAGTCTCTTTTTTAATGGGCATAGGGTATTTCTCAGTTTGGTGGGAGGCCTGCATAGCAGCACAAAGCTCTGGGTTTGATCCCAGGCACAGTATAACAGGGTGTTGTCTCACTGTCTTCTCGTACCTGGCAGAGGGGAGAGGAACCCTCAGCTACACAGTGTCTTGAGGCCAGTTTGGGCTACAGTAAACCCTGTCTCAACGAAATAAGAAAGTCAGATTCTGCACAAAGGAAAAAAGGGACCGGTGGGTCCCTGCACATTTAGGGTTCAGAAGGGTCCTGACCCCGAGTCCCAAAATTGCAATAGAAGACCCAGGAAGCAAAGACAGTTCAGAGAGGCCAGCCTAAGTCTTTCGCGGTGTGGACACTTCACACTGGCCACCCCACGCCCTTAACGGTGTGGTCACTGGGGTTCAGGCGATCCTGTGTGCTGGGAAGCTGAGAGCAGAAATGCAGACTTCCGGACTATGATGCAACACAACGCATGCCTACAAATCTTCTGGCCAAGGTGGGAATCTGGGGCAAGGAGCAGGGGACCCAGCCTGGGTGCCTTGTTTTCCCTCCGCGTTCGGCCCTGGGTGGTCCGCATCGCTTTCATCACGCAGGAAGCAGAACTGGGGACGCGGTCTGGTCCTGTTTTAGACCGCGCCGCCAGCTGCGGAGGCGCCGAGGGACCAGAATAACTAGTCGCCTGGATGCTCAGTCACCCCCGCAAGGAGCCTGCGAAGCTCTGCCCGCTCTGGGGCCACGTGAGCAGCTTGTTTCTCTCTGCTTCCCCACCCGCACCAGGCAGCAGAGGGATGCAGAACCGCAGACACAAAATGACCATAACGGGGGTTAGGGTGGGGACTAGGCACGGGTTTGAGGACTGAGGGTGCAGGGAAAAGCTTGGGGCGCCCCTTAGGCAGACTTGGATTTATTCCCAAGAGATGAACTCTGGGGAGGAGCTGCCTTTACTGCCTTTTATTTCAAAATAAAGATGGGGCGGAGGCTCAGGGACTAGAGTGCTTGTAGATCACTTGGTGGCAAGATGACACGATTTGGCTGAGGAGGATCGTGAGTTCATCATCCTGGACCGCTAAAGTGAGACTGTCCCATATCAAGACATTGAAAACAGCCAGGCATGGTGGCAGAAACCGTTAATGCCGGCCGCACTTGGGAGGCATAGGAGGCAGATTTTACAAAGTGAGCTCCAGGACAGCCCAGGGTTACAGAGAGCCTGCCTCAAAAACAGGCACACGTGTGTGTGTGTGTGTGTGTGTGTGTGGTGAGTATGTGAGTGTGTGTGGTGAGTGTGTGTGAGTGTGTGTGGTGAGTGTGTGTGTGAGTTTGTGTGAGTATGTGTGTGAGTGTGTGTGGTGAGTGTGTGTGGTGTGAGTGTGTGGTGAGTGTGTGTGTGAGTTTGTGTGAGTATGTGTGTGAGTGTGTGTGGTGAGTGTGTGTGGTGTGAG